CCCTGTATAGCCTTTCTACTAACTGCTGGCCCCATGTCTCACTTATTTTCAATGTTACATTTTTATTTTTATGAATTTCACTTACCTCTAAATTATTTCAGTAGTACTTTTAATTGGATCTCTTTTATGTAGGTCATACCTTTTCCATCTAACCATTTGACCAGATTTATTTAACTAAAATATCACTTGTTTTGCTGCTTTCCTGCCACAGGTCACTCAGTTTTCTCCCATTACTGTAAAAGCACGTTTAAGTTTGGGCACTGCAGGTGACCCGCTTTACCTATCCACTTGGTCTCCCATTGCACTGTCAGACCACCGCCTTCATTAAGCAGGTGCTGTGTGGTTCTCAGCAGTGCTGCGTCTGCTTTCTTCTGGCCTTTCCCTCCCATTCTGTTGTATTTCTGTCTCTGGACTTTTCAGAAAAGCTTATCTACAAGTCTGTGCTAGCTTCTTTTCCTTAAAGAAAATAGTTGGTGTACATTTTTCGTTTTTCCCTGGTTAGATCATAAGCTCTTTGAAAATAGCAATCCTACCTATTTTTTGTGTATTTGTGCTTGGCGATTTTTAGATTGGTGTCAGTAAACTTTCAGTTGCTGAGACGAATAGGTAAGAAACTCAACTAATAATTTAGTAAAGTAGACATTTATATGTTTGAACATGGTTTTAACTTATGAAATGCCTTTTTCTCCTGCTAATGTATCAAGTTCAATTGAAATCATTAGGTTGGCAATCATTTTTATTCTGTAAACAGCCATATTGATAAATTTATGTTTAAAAATCATTGCTTCCTAGATGATTTAGAAATGTCTCAGTGTTGGAGTCAGCAGTTAGCATAATGGCTATGTCGCTGGGCTCCCATGTAGTTGACCGCAGTTTGAGTCCCAGACCCAGTGACTTAAACTCACACCAGGCATGTGTGCGTGCCCAAGATCCCGAGAGGAGAATGGAGGAGAAGGGATTGCGACGTGACCATCCCCCCTTGGAGGGGGATTTCTTGCTTTCTGTCTCTCTGTTTCGCGCTGTCTCTCTGGCAAGTGCATGCACCCTATAGCAAAAAACAAAAACAAACAAACACAACTTAAAAAAAAATTCTCAGTGTTTTCATATGGAGGCTACCACTTTGAATGTTATTTCAAGAAACTAGTCAAAATTTGAACCTGTGTTCCTGGGGACAAATCAATGATTCTCATCTTCACACTTGCCAGATAAAAGTATTTGAAAGTCAACATAAACTTCCTTTAAAAATCTTAGAAGAGTGGTCTCTTAAGTATTTGAATCAAGATGGAAAAATATCCATTAGTGTGGCCATAACTGAAGCGCTTCACCATTTAAGAAAGACTTAAATCTGAAGAAGATTTAGAGGACAGTTTAAAGGGTGTCGCATAAAATAAACCAAAAAGTTTGTATATTCCGACTTGGAGAAGATATGCACAAATAACCTGTATGGAGGGACTCTACTTCAAGTTTGGTGCATGGTGGTAGTTGGAATGAAAACGTAAAGGAAGTCTCTTGGGCAGGGGTGCCAAAATCAAGGTGATAGGAAGTTGCTTTTGAGTATTTTCACTTTCCGTTTTCACTTGTGCTCACAGAGGATAACTGCTGCGCTCCCCTGCTTTGACATGTCATCGTGCCCCTGTCCGAAGCAGAGCTCTAGGCTGGCAAGAGCCGCAGAGCAGATACATAAGGTGTTTTCAACGCGCTCTAATCAGGCACTACTTGGACGGGAAGGTAGCTTCAAGTGCGCGTTGTGTGTTGTGTTTAAGAAACTGGTTTTAAGAATTAGTTCAGAATACAAGGAATAAAGGTGATTCTTTTTAGCTATCATTTTTGGAGAGTAGGCATCTTCAGAATACTCGTGAATGTATTATAATTAGAGAGAAATAGCTGCCTCATCTTTTACTTCCAAACAAGTTAAACCTTCAACAAGTTGAGAAAGAAATACCTTTCTTAATTTAATTTTAAGGACTTTTTTCTCCCATCATTTCTTGTTATCTACTTATGTTAGCTTCTGCTCAATTTCTTTCTTATTTCTCCACTTAAATACTGCTTTGTTGTGTCATTTCATTTTTGACTTTTTGTTGTTCTGAGAAATCCCTTTTAAAGATCTTACCAGGATATTGGGACCAGCAGTTAGCATAATGACTATGTCGCTGGACTCCCCATGTAATTGACTGCGGTTCGTCCCGGACCCGGTGGCTTGAAACTCACGCCGGGCTCACGTGCATGTGTGCCCAAGACCCCCAGAGGAGAATAGAGGAGAAAGGACTGCGGCATGGCCATCCCCCCTGGGAGGTGATTTCTCGCTTTCTGTCTCTCTGTCTCTTTCTCTGTCTGTCTGGTGAACGCACACGCCCTATAGCAAAAAAAAAAACCAAACAAACAAACAAAAAAAAACTCTCCAAAAAAAAAATTTAAAAAGGGACCAACAGTTAGTGTAATGGCTATGTCGCTGGACTCCCACGTAGTCAACTGCGGTTCGCGTCCCGGACCCGGTGGCTTAAAACTCATGCCAGGCTTGTGTGTGCGTGCCCAAGATCCCAAGAGGAGAATGGAGAAGGGATTGCGCCGTGACCATCCCCCCGGGGGGGGGGGTGATTTCTCACTTTCTGTCTCTATGTCCCTCTTTATCTGGCAAGCGCACGCCCTGTAGCGAAAAAACCTCTCCCCCCCCCCCCCAAAAGAAAGATCTTCTTACCAGGATATTGAATATTTTTCATATTTCTCCTACATATTCTTATCAAAGAACAGTATCTTTACTGGAGTTTCTTTAATGTCTTTTTTCAAAAGCAAAAGACAAAAAAAGCCTGCTTTACCTTGTTGCTCTTTTGCAGTAAAATGTTAATTTTTTTTAAGCCTATAAGCCAAGGGTGAGAAATTCCTATTAAGTGCCATTAACTCAGGAAAAAAAATCTGTCAAGAGCTATTTGTGGGCTAAAATAATTAATTATTGGGACCAGCAGATAGCATAATGGTTGTCACTAGACTATTGCGTGGTGGACTGCAATTTGAGTCCCCAACCCGACAGCTTAAAACTCATGCTTAAAACTCACGCTGGGTATGTTTGCATGCAGAGATCCTAAGAGGAGAATGGAGATAAGGGATTGCTATGTGGCCATCCCCCGGGGTGATTTCTTGCTTTCTGTCTCTTTGACAAGCACACACCCTCTATAGCAAAAATCTCTAAAAAAAAAAACATAGTTAATTATTTTATTGAATGGCATGTAGTTGGAGAAGAAGGAAGATGATAGGAATAAGAGTAATTCATACTGAGCAGCTTGCTTGACTGTGCTTTTTGTTATTTTTCCCCTAATTTTTTAAATGTTTACTAATAGGACAATTTTTACAATGTGATTTTTCAACACATGAATACAATGTGTAATGATCAAATCATGTGTGTGTGTGACCTTGTCCCATAGAGGAATGCTTCCTCACTTCCCTTCTTTCTGTTTGTCTCTATCTCTGTAACAAGTGCACACGCCTTCTGGCAAATTAAAAAATAAGTTATTCTTGGAAACTATATTCGTTTTGTTTTTCAAATACAACCTAGTGTTCTGATCTAGGTTGATTCTATTTAGAACCCCCCAAAAAGCCAATGACAATATTTTTTATGACTAAACCCAGAACTACTAACAATGGGTAGTTTGATTTAAACATTAAATTAAGCTTAAAATGTAGGGCCTGCTGATTGGATTTAGTAACCCAGTCATCTCTTTGTGATTATATGGCCTTCTCCAAGGGTTGTAAACAACAAATCATATACTTTGTACCTTTTCTTTTTATTTTATTTTTATTCATTGTCATTATGTTATTTTTTTTTGAAGAGAGAGACAGAAAGAGAGAAGGAAAGTGAGAAAGCAAGCTGCCAGGTTTGAAATTTGAACCGTTGTCAGCCATGTGGGAGTCCACCTGCTGGCCCCACTTTGTGCCTTTTCTGAGCAATGTAACCTTCTAGAACCTAAAGGACCCTAAAGACAACAACATAGTGACCTAATTTTAGAATGAGATTATATTCTACCTTCAAAGTGTGGCAAGACATATAATATTGTCCAGAATCATTTATTTCTAACTACACTATTAGTAAAGCTTGCTCAGGTTTAGATCATTGGGAGGTGGTGTTTTCCTGTCTTCCAAAGAGCACACTATGTAGTTTTCCCATAGTGTACCAGGTTGCTAGAAGCTTAAGGAATCATAGTGTCTGTGTTGGTGATAGAGTTTGGAAGAGTCTTGGATACAGTCTGTTCTGACTCTTTTAGATTGAATTTCCAAGCTTGATCTTTTTCTTGAAGTGTTTCTACACATCGATCAATGAGAATAATTACTCAGCAAGGCTTATTGTGTAGCCTGACGTAGAAGCTCCCCTAAGATCTGGTTTGCCTCCCTCTGTCCTCCGGCAGTGTGTCTCTGCAGTACGTGACATGTGGCTGCGTGTCTTACTAAGGAAGCACTGGCATACTCAGCTCTATTGTACCATCTACTGTGTTTGTAAATGAGACTTCTTTAGGAGCGGAACCTTTTATGCTTTCTGCTTTGAAGAGAAAGGGAGAATTTTTCGTTAAAATTGTTGGTCTTTTGCTTGTTGTATTCTTTTTAGAAAGAAAGTTAAAAGGATATTGAATTGATGCTGAATTTCCAATTCCAGGTTCTAGAGCCATGTCACACCACACCCACTCTCAGTCTAGCTGTGGGCTAGTAAAAGACATTTAAAATTCATCTTTCCCCATGAGACTGACAGCAAGGATTCAGTGATTAGAAATACTACGTATTTTGTTCCACTGCCTTTCAGCGAATCAACATGCAAAGTTGAAATTTCTTGACCAGAATTTGGAAGATAATGATGTAATTCCCTGGGCCTTGATTCCAGAAGAAGGAGCTCTCCTCTCCGAATATGGGTTTACTAGTTGGTGGTAAATTCATGAGTCCCCAACTATTAGGCCTTTATGTCCAGATATTATCTTAATTTATGGAGTAAGGTCCCTGAGTTCTCCTCTTTCCTTCCACAGGGCAAGCAGGAGGACTTCAAGACGACAGTTCTGGAGGGTATGGAGACGGCCAAGCATCAGGTGAGGGTGGCATTAGATGCTTGCCACTTAGTAGCAAGAGCCGCCATATCAGGGATTGATGCTTGCAAGTGGTTTTGGCTTGGTACCCACATTTTAACCAGAAGCTCAGGGGAAATTTAGCCCATAGGACGTAGTAGTATAGGAGAGAGTTTAGCCAGAACAAAAGCAAGCAAAGCCTTTTGAAGTCCTCAGGCCGATCTCAGCCCTCCACTCTTCTTTGTGTTTTTGAGGAGATGGCGGGTAATTTTTTTCCCCAGCCCCCTTTACAGTAATAGTAAACATGATACAAAATGCAGATTTAGGAATCATGGGACCTTTAAAAAGAAGTATAGAAGGAAACACAGAAAAGACCAGCTATAAGCTCAAAAGTTTTAACAAAAAATAGGACAGATATTCTAGGACTAGTCAAAGGAATTGATGCAGGCAAGTGACATCTTTTTAGAAATGGTCGTTAACGGCTGTATGGGGTACACCTTCTAATTCACATTACATAGTTATCATATTGCCTTTAAACATTGCTTCTCATGTGAAAGTTACCTCTTAAAGTTTATTTTTGAAATGCTTTTCCTTTTCAGACCAGTGTTTAGGAACAAGTAAATGAGTTATAGAGACCAGCATCTGAAACAGTTAAGATGTTAAGATTTATTGCAGGAATACAAAGTAACATGACTGAATTTCATCCTTTGCCTCTTGCGAGATGTTTTTGTGTCTTCCAGGGCTCAGAACTGGGATATATGTGTATTTTGATAAAACTGAAGTAGGTATTACTTCACTTTTGGAGGTTGTTCCTTTTCAACTGTTGAATCTACTTTAAAATTATTTGTCTATTGCATTTTACATTCAGCAGGTCCAGGGTGTAGTTTACTCTCTTGGATCGAAGGTAGTTCAGCATTATTATAGCAGTTGGTAATGAGGAGATCCAGGATGCATCTAGGATGGATAACCTTCAGGAATGCTTTTCATCAAATGATGCACAATTAAATGTTCCATGGTACTTTTGAGGATCAGGGATCACTTTAGAGCTTTAATTTTGAAGGAAGAAATTAATTTTCTTATTGTTTTTATTTTTTTTTTGTAACTATTTGCTCTTTTGCTTAAGTGAACAATATAGGGTATCGCTTGAAAGTGAAAGCAGACTTCCATATCAAACTGGTATTGCTGTTATAGAGCATGAATGTCTTGTGCTTCTAGGAGTGGTGGTGACTGGTGTGAACCCTTCTCGATCTCTAGGTCTTTGACATGCATTTGTGAGATGATCAGTTGCAGTTAGGAACATGTGTTTATGGATGCTCAGGGTTCTTCTCTTAACAAGGCTCATGACTCTCATGGTCATCTTGGGTCCAAGATCATATCTTCACTTCTTAAGATCCACCTCGATTTCATGTATAATCCCAAGTCTTAGAGCTAGAAGGGAGCTGGAGGCCATCTTGTCTAGCTTGCTGCCTTCAGACAGGTAACATTGTGCCTCTCCTATTTATAGATTAGGTCCTGGAACCCAAAGAAATTAAATAACTTGACCAGCAATACACCAACAGCTGTGGAGCAGGAGCGAGAACCCAGAGGTGTTGCTGCTTAGTGCATAGGTTGTTCTTATACTTTAAGCATCATTTAAAATAGATGTGTACCTTAAAAGGAAAAGTCTCAAGTTTAGATGCTTTTTCTTTTTCTCTTCCCTCTCCCTATTCTCTATTCTTTTTGTTTTAAAACCATAGTAGGACTTGATAGGTGCATCTCTAGTTTATCAGTTTCAAATAGTCTTCTTTGAGTAGAACCCATCAGGCTTTTGTTTTCACTCTTCAGCTAGAAATCTAAAAGTTACTTTATAAAAAAACCTCAGAGGCACATAAATTCTCTTGGAGGCCTTCTTTATTAATGTTTATGTCTCTATTTCACCATACTGTATTCAAGATGCTACTACCTATATCTTCCCAGAGTTGGGGGAAATGATTTCTTGGAACTGAGGACCTAGAATCTTACTCACCTTCCTCCCCATTTCCTCTTTCTCTAGTTGACCTATCTGGAAAGGTATAAATTACTCCCTTGAATATTTAACTACTTTTACTTTCTTTTGGGAAAAATGTGAACCAGATCATTAGAAAGGGCAGTTCTGCATTGTCATGGCTGAATCCTGAACAGTAATGTAGAAACTTCCGTGTGAAATGGTGAATGGGAAAGAATTATATAGAGACAATATTGGTATGTAGGCAGCCTTGGAGCTTTTTAAAAATTTAGATAGCATTCTTGGGAACCAGCAGTTAGCGTAATGGCTATGTCGCTGGACTCCCACGTAGTCGACCGCGGTTCGTGTCCCGGACCTGGTGGCTTAAAACTCACACCGGGCGCGTGTGCGTGCGTGCCCAAGATCCCGAGAGGAGAATGGAGGAGAAGGGATTGCGGCGTGACCATCCCCCCTGGGGGGTGATTTCTCGCTTTCTGTCTCTATGTCTCTCTCTGTCTGTCTGGCGAGCACACGTGCCCTACAGTGAAAATCTCTCCAAAAAAAAAAAAAAATTTAGATAGCATTCTTGAAACATTCTAAATTTCCAGAATACCACATTCCATTAAGTACCCACAAACACCAGAACCATATTTCAGAGCCAAGTGTAAATACTTCTGAATTATATATACTATTGGTAATTCTTTCTAATAGGGGTATTACTGAAGTCGGCTGTAGTCTAAGGGAGATACTTAAGAGACTATCCAAAGTGACCTATCACTTCATTTTGGAAATATCCCAAGTATGTTTTGATTTAGTTTCTGAACAGGTTAGGTTCCAAATTAACAGGATTTTTTGTTTGTTTCTTTAAAAGTTGGCTTTTTAACCTGCAGGAGTTTTTGCTGATTATTTATATCTATATTTAAATATATCAATGTGAAATATATTGCCCGAGAGAGAAAGCAGCCCTCATTGGGGCATGTCCACACTATACTTCTTTTTCCCTCCATTTCTCCATCCTGTCAGGACTATGAACATGCACACACATGTATCTGTCATGTTTTCAAACTACTGGGGCTGAGATTTGAACCATGGTCAGCTACATGGGATTTGATTCCCTATGCACAGTGCCCAACTGCCGCGTTATAGGATTGGCCCACATTTTGATTTTGGTAATAATGGTTTCCATTCCTTGAAGTAAGTCTTTTTTCTTTAAATACCAAAAGTAGGGGGATAATTACTGGAGAGAACTTTTTTTTTTTTTTAAAAACTGATATTGGAGCATTAAGAATAACTAGTTTTGGGACCAACAGATGGAGTAATGGTTACATTGCTGGACTCCCATGTAGTTGACCATGGTTCGAGTCCCAGACCTGGCGGCTTAAAACTCATGCGTGCATGCATGCCCAAGATCCTGAGAGGAGAATGGCGGAGAAGAGATTGTAGCCATCCCTCCGCTGGGGGATGACTTCTCGCTTTCTGTCTCTGGAGAACACATGCACACTATAGCAGACATCTCTCTTAAAAACAAACAGACAAAACTAGTTTGTGTAGATGTTGTATAAAAGATATGGGGAAGGTTATTATTGTAAGCATACATTAATGTCACAACTTCCGGCTTTAATCGAATTCGTTTAAACTTTTTTTTTTGGAAGATATTTTTGCTATAGAGCGCGTGCACTTGCTGAAGAGACAGAGAGATAAAAAACAAGAAATCACCCCTCCCCCCACCCCAGGAGGGAAGGCCACACGGCAGTTCTTTCTGCTCCGTTCTTCTCTCGGGATTTTGGACTTGCATGCTCATGCACCCCGCATGAGTTTTAAGCTGCTGAGGCTGGGACTCAAACCGTGGTCTACTCTATGGTAGTCCAGCAACGTGTAACCATTATGCCATCTACTGATTCCAGATTCATTTAAGTTTTTAACATTTGGTTTAGAGATACTTGGAGAGTGCCACATGACTTTTGTAAATAGCATTACTTAATTGTTAACATATTTTCAAAATTTCCGGAGTTAGCCAGCTGTATGAGAGTGGTTTTTGATAAGAATACTCACAATACGGAATCAAATATAATGCAAAATTGAGGGTTTTTTTTTTCTGTATGTTTCTCTAGCTGTGTTGACAAATAGTATTTTGAAGTGGGATAGACTTTTCAATGACCATTGATTAAACATATTGAAGATAATACAGCTAAGAAAGGAAATGCCTATTTAGTCAGGGAGAGTGGAATTTAATATGTTAACAGTGTACACTCATGATATACACAAAGAAGTAACTTCTTAAGAGAGATTTGGCTCTTTGGCCAGCTCCATAGATTGGTAGTTAAGGGATCTGGACCTCACATGGCTGACTATGATTTGAATCCTGGCCCTGGTGGCTTGAAAAAATGCCAGGTCTGTGTGCATGCGTGCCTGAAATCCTGACAGGATGGAGAAATGGGGAAGGGATTGTGGTGTGACCGTACCCCGTTGAGGGGTGCTTTTTCTTTCTCCCTCTGTCCCTCTCTGGTGAGTGAATACACCCTATGGCAATTAAAATGAGATTTGATTCAGACACTCAAGATTAAGTGTAGATGATAATGCTTCTTATTTAATATGAGATATTTTCAGTCTTAGTTTTTTTACTTGTTTTTTTTATTTGGGGGCAGGGGTTTGGAGACATCAAAACCGTATAGTTTTAGAAAGTTTTACATTACTGAAATAATCTGTACCTTGATAGCCAGCATTTCTTCCTTTCTCACCTTGACTTTATGCTCTTTCTGCAACAGTGCAGCTCTCACTTTATTTTTTCCCTAAGAAATAATTATCCTGACAGTCTTTTTATTTTAAATAATTATTAATTTAATTTATTACTATTTTTATTTTATTTGCTGTAGAGCATGTGTGTTCTCGAGAGAGAGAGAGGGAGAGAGAAAAACAAGACAGGAGAGAGGGAGAGTGAGAAAGCAAACCACTAGGTCCGAGACACGAACCATGTTCAACCACGTGGGAGTCCAGTGCATTAACCACCATGCCACCTGCTGGCCCCTATCCTAATGGTCTTAAATTTTCGGTTGAGATTAATTAAATGAAGATAGGTAATTTGATTCAATAATGTGAAACACAGTATTTATGCCCTTATGCCTTGATTATTCAGTGAAGAGTAGCCTTTCTCCTTGTCTTTAAGAACAGTGATTCTGGGACCAGCAGTTAGCGTAATGGCTATGTCACTGGATCCCCATGTAGTTGACTGTGGTTCAAGTCCCGGACCCAGCGGCTTAAACTCACGCCAGGGGCACACGTGCGTGCGTGCCCGCCCAAGATCCCGAGAGGAGAATGGAGGAGAAGGGATTGCAGCGTGGCCATCCCCCCTGGGGGGTGATTTCTTGCTTTCTGTCTCTTTGTCTCTCTCTGTCTTTTTGGCGAGCTCATGTGCCCTATAGTAAAGGAACAAAAAAAAAACACCTCTCCCTAAAAAAGAAAAAAAAAAAAGAACAGTGATTCTGAGTGTGTAGCCCACGTTAGCATTAGGCTTTTTTGCTTCACCTCTTGTTAACTGTTGTTTTTTTTAGATAGTGTTTGCCAGTTGTATGTCTTTGTGGAAACAGACCCCTGAAAGTTTTTCAGGCTTTACTTTACTCACCTTATTCTTTTTATTTTCCTAATCTTACTAATACCTTTTAAAATGTTTTCTTTTATTGTCCTTGCTTCCAACTTTTTGTTTTATGTGTTTTAGAATGATTAAACATGGATATCTGCTGCCTATTTTGTTACTTCCATATAATTACTAAAATAGTATTGGATTTTGAAACCTTTTAAATTATATCTTGATATTTTTATAAGCTGGTGGTTAAGTACATTTTTATAAGATAGTGAATGTTAGATAAGCCAAGTACAGTATATGTAACTGTATTTCTAGGAACACCTTATAAAGATGTTCATAACCACTGGTTTTTAAAAATACCAATTTTAAAAGTTTTGAGGGGCCAGCAGATGGCAGAATGGTTATGTCACTGGACTCCCATGTAGCCGACCATGGTTCAGGTCCTAGACCTGGTAGCTTAAACTCATGGCATGTGTGCTTGTATGCCCAAAATTCCAAAAGGAGAATGGAAGAAAGGGAATTGTGGTGTGGCCATCCTCCCTGGTGGGTGATTTCTCATTTTCTGTCTGTCTATCTCTGTTTCTCTGGCGAGCACATGCACTCTATAGCAAAAATCTCTCAAGTTATGAAATAACTTATTTATTTGTAGTATGCAGTATATGTGTACATTATTTGGTGTATGTAGTAACATTTTACTTACAGTATTTAGTAAAGCATTTCTAATGTTTCTGTCAAGAAAGGTAATTTCCTTTGTTTAATTTATCTCATTGCCAGCAGTGATTTTAGGAGAGCTGTTATGCCGTTGGTTCTGTGGGATCCTTTATTTTGATAGCCGATTACTGTGCCTCAGAATCGTCTCTCTATTCCATGCTCTAATTCTAAAAGAAGTCATGTGATTGTGTTTCTCACTGATAGCTTCTTTTGCTTTCCTGTTAGTGTACTTCCCTGTATTTTGGTTCTTTAGTTTTAAATTTTATTGTACCCTGTCAATGTGTTAATTAGAATATTATCCAATATTGTAAGTTATTTTATGGATGAAGAAATATTCTGAATGTTCTCTTATGTCTTATAAGGTATATTGTTTCACTAATTAGTAAACTAACTTGGGAGTGTTAATCTCTAAATAGTGGTTAATTTCTAAGGAAGTTTATCTTTGAGACAATTTGAAAGTTGTTTTTAAAAAGATGAGATTTGCGAATGAGGCAAAATTTTACAGAGCTCGTTAGGCAAAAAAGAAATGTAAGACATCACCGCCGACCCTCATTCCGTACTCACTCGCACTTTCCTAGAAGTCCTCTGCTTTCTTTGCTAGGTGTGGAGGGTGCAGCTTTCCAGAGCAGACTTCCTCATGACCGGATGACTTCTCAAGAAGCAGCCTGTTTCCCAGATATTATCAGTGGGCCACAGCAGACGCAGAAGGTTTTTCTGTTTATTAGGAACCGCACAGTAAGTTTCTTTTCACCTGGATAATTTCTTTTAAAAAACGCTTGTAAGTTTTATGAAGAACATAGGGGGAGGGGCCAGCAGATCGTGTGGTGGTTAAGGCACACATGGTGGACTGTAGTTTGAGTCCTGGACCTGGACTCACTCTCCCTCTCTGTCTTGCTCTGGTAAAATTGAAGAATAATAAATAAAATTAAGAAAATAATTCTAAAAATATTTGTTTTAAAACATAGAGGAAAATTTCAGGGAAGAAGGATTTAAGAATTAACTGTAATTATTATCCAGAGATAACAATTGTTAAAAATTAGTTGTTCGGGGGCCAGCAGGTGGCATGGTGGTTAAAGTGCTGAACACCACCCAGATAGTCAGCTGTGATTCAAATCTCGGACCTAGTGACTTGCTGTCTCACTTTCTCTATCTCTCTCTGCCTCTTTGTCTTTCTCTAGTCAAATTAAAATAATAATAAATAAAATAAAAAAAAATTAGTTGTTGGGGCAGCCAGTGGCCCAGTGGTTAAGGCGGTTGGATCCCACATGGCTAACTGCACAGCTGAGTCCCTAACAGGGCAGCTTGAAAACAGTCAGGGCCTGTGTGTGTGCCCAAAATTCTAAAAGGAGGAAGGAATGGAGAAGGGACTGCAGTGTAATTACTCCCATGGAGTACTTTCTCACCCTACGGCGTCTCCTCCATGGACTCTCTGGCAGTCGATCAGTTAATCAATTTTTAAAAAATAGTTGTTTTTTCGGGACCAGCAATTAGCGTAATGACTATGTTGCTGGACTCCCACGTAGTCGACCGCAGTTTGCGTCCCGGACCTGGTGGCTTAAACTCAAGCCGGGCGCGTGTGCGTGCATGCCCAAGATCCTGAGAGGAGAATGGAGGAGAAGGGATTGCGGCGTGGCCATCCCCCCTGGGGGGTGATTTCTCACTTTCTGTCTCTCTGTCTCTTTCTCTTTGTCTGGCGAGGGCACGCGGCCTATAGCAAAAACCTCCCCCCCCAAAAAAAAAGTTGTTTTTCCTTCAGGCATTTTAGAGAATGTATATGTAATTTTTATTTTCACAGATATTAAGATCCTACCTGCATGCGTTCTTTTGTACCCTTTTCAGTTTGTTTATTCCTCCAGTAAGTGAGAGAGAGAAAGAGAAAACAAGACAGACAGCTCCCCAACAAGGTCTTGGCATCATGACCCATTCCCAGCTTCAGCCAGCCCCTGGATCATGGGTATGTGTGCATCCAGCATACTCAGGATGTGAACCCAGTTGTGAACCCGGACCTGTCTGTGGGTCAGCTTCACAGAGCCATGTGTTACACTGTTGTGCCATCGGTTGGCCTCTGGATCGTTTCATACCTCATAAGTTCACATTTAAGAATCCTTGTTTAAAGTTGTTTTCAATTGCCAGAGGGCACATGTGCTCATCAGAGAGAGTGGAGGGGAATATGCCTGGTATGGCGTGGTGATACCTCAGTCCCTTCTCCTCCGTATCTCATATTTATCCCAGCGGGATTTTGGCATATACATGTTCCTTTGCGCTTTTCAAGCTGCCAGGCTAAGATTGGAACTGTGCGATTGGTCATGTGGGATCCTGCTGGTCCCTCACTTACCCTGTTCTGCTCGTCTGGTTCAGTCTTCTACTCTGGCCGAATGACTGTCTTCAGTGTCCGTGTAATATCTTGTGTGGGGCCAGCAGGTAGCATGTGTTTAAGGCACTGTACTCTGACATAGTCGACCATCATTTTGAGTCCCAGACCTGGTGGCTTGCATTCTCACTTTCTTTTTCTTTCTTTTTTGTTTTAGAAGAGAGATTTTTGCTATAGGGCGTGTGCACTTGCCGAAGAGGTAAAGAGTCAGAGAGGCAGAAAGTGAGAAATCATCCCCCAGGGGGGATGGCAACATCACAGTCCCTTCTCCTCCATTCTCCTCTCAGGATTTTGGGCACACACGCACATGTGCCCAGTGTGAGTTTCAAGTCACTAGGTCTGGGACTTGAACCATGGTCAACTACGTGGGAGTCCAGCGACGTAACCAGTATGACATCTGCTCGACCCCTCTTACTTTCCATTTCTCCCTCTCTGTCCTTTCCTGATCAAATTAAAATAATAATTAATAATAATAAAATAAGTAATAATTAAAAAAAATATGTTGTCTGACAGTTGGGTCCTAATTGAATTGTTAGACTTTAAAGATTCATTTTCGCCTTAGTATACATTCTTGACTCTGTCTCTGGCTCTTACTTCCTTACGATAGAAATCTAGAAGGAAAACAGCCCTGTCAATGAAGAGGAATATTTTTCATTTTTTTCTTTTTAATTTGCCAGAGGGCAAACTAGAGAGAGAAAAAACGCAAGTGAGAAAGTCTCTAGCGTGGGGCATGTCACACTGCAGTTCCTTCCCCTCCACCTCTCCCTTCTCTTAGGATTTTGGGAATGCATGCAAATGCATCTGGTGTGCTTTTTCAAGCCCTCAGTTTCAGGACTCGAGCCACAGTCGGCCACGTGGGGTCCAGCTGTCTTCACCACCACACTACGGGCGGTCCCAAACGTGAACACTTTGTAAGTTTTGAACAAGCCTCCGCTGCCCTACCCTATCTTTATTAAAGCAGTGCTATTCTCTATGACTATAACAGACTCAAGCCATCTAGTTTCCATTTTTTTAAATTACTGAGACTTCTCTTGCACATTTATTAGTCATTTGTATTTCTTCTGTGAATGTTTTTTATTTCTTTTATTCATCAGAAATGTTTTAGCTACAGAGTAGAGGAGGGCAAGATGCTGTGCAGAACATAGTTCATTCTAGGGTGATAACAAAGTAGAACTTGACACTGATTTCAGCTATGTGGAATATAGCTCAGATGTCACTTAGCATGTTTGCTTTTTAGCCAACACTAACTTAAAAAATTAGTTTCTGTTCATTATTTTATTCATGATAGCAAACATCATGTCATACTTCGCTTTTCCCAGCCCTCCAGCTCCTCAGGATTCCGGGCACTTGTCCATGTACCTGGCATATTTTCTGATCCACCAGGAAGCTGAACCTGTGGTTGGCCATATGGTCTATATCGCAGTTCAGGTTATTACTTACGGTGTCACCAGACTGAGCCTACCACTAACTATTTTTAATTTTGATTGTTAGATTTAAGAGCCATTGCCAACTTTGGATTGTTAAATGTCATTTAATGAGAGTGGTTGGTAGGTTATACAGGGTTTTTGTAATACAGAAAAGACAGTGAAGAAAAGAGGGTAAATTTTTTTGAGAGAGACTTTTGCTATAGGGTGCATACATTGCCAGAGAGATTGAGAGAGACAGAAGGCAAGAAATTGCCCCCCAGGAGGAATGGCCACTCCACAATCCCGTCTCTTCTTGGAATTTTGGGCACACACGTACATGCGCCCAGTGTGAGTTTTAGGCTGCCAGGTCTGGGGCTTGAACCTTGTTCAACTATGTGGGAGTCCAGCGATGTAACAGTTATGCCATCTGCTAAGCCCCGACCTAGGGAGGGTGAATTTTTTTTGCCACATGAAAATTTGGGGTTTATTAATCCTTTCCTGAAAAATCCATACAGTCCCCGCAGATAGTCACTGCAGAATCTTTCCTCTTCTGACTCTCTGTCAGCACCAACATTGGCTTTTGCAGTCCCCTTGACTTTATTCATTCTGCTCTTGCGTTCCTCTCGTTTTAGAGGCCACGTCTTGCAAGCCTGTGTTTGGGTTCATTTTTCTTTGCATAATCTAAAGAATCATAAATCATACCAGTGCCAATTGTCTTGCCATCACCAGAATGTGTTCTGAACCCAGACACAAAGATGCCATCTGGTGTGGTCCTGTACATCTTCACTAGTTTTTCCCATATTTCTGTCTTAGGAACTGTTGCCTTCCTGGGGTGAAGGGCATCAATGACCCTTTGTTTCCTATGAAGTAGTCAACTGGTTGTGAATTTTCTGGTATGGATAGCTACTGTGTCATTCATGATGCTGGTTTATGCTCAGACAGCCAGGAAGGAAAAGAGCAAGAGGTTGAATTTTTAAAAAAGCAAATGGAAAATACTTTGTGTACCTGAGGCTGATTTGTCTTAAAATTTAATCAAATTCTGTGTGTAGCTCATTAACATGTAACCTAATGAATTTTTAAACAATTTTGCAAGAGGGGACAAGCAGATGGCATAATGGCTACGTTGCTAGATTCCCATGTAGTTGACTGGGGTTTGGCTTAAACTCAAGCCAGGCGCATGTGTGCGTGCCCAAGATCCTGAGAGGAGAATGGAGGAAAAAGGATTGCGGTGTGGCCTTCCTCCCTGCGGGGGGTGATTTCTTGCTTTCTGTCTCTCTGTCTTTCTGGTGAGTGCACGTGCCCTATTGGGAAAAAAAAAATTTTTTTTGCAAGAAGGCAGTGTGTACTCACTGTGGGGTGGGGGGAGAGAAAGTAATAAAGCGATAAGCAGCTTCCATGGGGAGGTGTCATGCCCCAGTGCCTTCTCTTCCATCTCTTCCTCCTTGGGACTTTGCATACATGCACACACACACGTGTTCAAAGCTGCAGGCTCTGAGATTTGAACTGTTTAGTCAGCCTTATAGAATCCAGCCACCCAAACCACCATACCATGGGCTGGCCCTTAATGGATTTTTTTTTAAAAGCCTCCCCCCCCCCCCTTGAGTGAGGAAGAGACATATTAGAAGAGAGTACACTCCCAACAGAGTCTTAAAGCTACGGTCCACCTCCAGCTTCAGCCAGCATCAGATCATGGGCATACATGTGCCTAACAATAAGAGGATTTTTTATAATAAATTTTTATTTGAAGGGTATTTTCCCTTCTCACTTGAATTTAAATGATGGATTTAAGATGATCTTTAAGTACTGATTGACTTCCTATGACCAAAGTCCAGATTTGGGGAAAGGTTGAACTTTGTTAGAGTTGTGATCTCTGCCTGTGAAACAGGAATCATTCTCTCCTGCGAGAACCATCTCAGTTCTCTTCTCTTAAACCACATCTTTTGTTTCCGTGTGTGAGTGAGTGTGTGTGTGTGTGTGTGTGTGTGTGTGTGTGTTTGTGTTTGATACAGTGCGCACGTTCTCATGGGGAGCCTTGGGGGGATGAGAAATCAGCCCCTGGGAGGATGGTGGCCATGTTGTAGTCCCTTCTCCTCTCAGGACTTTGAGCCCACACACACATATGCCTGGCCTAGATGATTTTCAAGCCAATGGGTCTGGCGCTCAAGCCACAGAGTGGTCCCTGTGGAATCCAGCTGCCTCAACCTCTACGCTGCCTGTGGCCCTCGTTTCCAGATTTTAAATCTACAACTGCAGGATTTTCAAATTAGAGCCTGTGACCTAAACTTTATTTATAGGATAAAAGGTAGACGACTTGTGTTGAGGGGTGAGGAGCTTGGCCCATTGTGTACTCAAGGAATTCCATTTTTCCTTGGCAGTGGTCACAAAGAAAAGTGATGTACCCTATGTGAATTTGGTCATGTTCCTTCGTAATTTGGTTTATTTACACATAAATTAACTTGTTTTTGTTTCAAACTTGTATAATAAGCAGTCTTTGTTAAATTCTACAATAGCTAAGACTTAAACATGGTGCTATTAGGTTGATCTTGGATTTTGCCAGTAAATATTCACTTTGAAGGTAATTCATACTAGAATCATTAATTGTACCTTAATTTTTTTTTTATTTTTCATCTTACTACTTTTTCAGCAACACACAAATTGACTACTCCTTTGGTTTCAGTAACAGCATTCTGATTTTCTCCTGCCTCCAGGCTGTTGTCTTCTCTAACTACTTTGTAGACTTAACCTTTACAACTGGCCAATGTGTGAAGTATTTGGGAATTTCTCCAGGTCCTCTTCTCTCTTCCCTGTTTTTTCCCTAGGAGTCGTCTTCTGCACATTTAGCTTCGCGCATCACCCCCCAAGCAGATGACTCCAGACTTCACCTCTCATGAGCTCCACGTGATACGTCCAAGCCTCCTAGTTTCTGTCTCTTCTTAATTGTCTTATAACTATATTCATTATCCTATTTTTTCTTTCAATGGCCCCATACCAAGCATTTTCTCCTCTTAACTATCTTGTAACTACATTCATTATCCTATTTTTTCTTTAAATGGCCCCATACCAAGTCATTTAGTTGTACAAACTACACCGAGAAGTTATCCTTAACAACTTCCTTCTCCCTATCCTCTGCATATCTAATTGATCATTAAGTTTTGTGAGTTGTATCTACTTAGTATCTCTGAATTCATGTGACCCAGGCTAAATCCTAGTTTCTCCCTCTAGCTTTGACCTTGGCAAGTTTCTAGATATTTTTGGTTTTTAGGCTAAATATCCTAAAAAGGAATATTCTTGGGGTCAACATGTGGCATGTTGGTTGAAGTAGTGGACTCCCACATGGCTGACCATGGTTTGAGTCCCGGACCTGGCGGCTTGCTTTCGCGCTTTCTGTTTTTTTCTTTGTCTCTTGCTGGTCAAAATTAAAGAAATAGTAATAATAAATAAATAATTCTTTTAAAAAGAATATTCTTTAATAATTCAGTCATTTAAGGCTAGCAGGTGGCATGGTGGTTGGGGCACTGGACTGTCACATGGCTGACCATGTTTTGAGTCCTGGACCTGGCGGCTTGCTTTCTCACTTTTCCTTTCTCTCTCTCTCTGGTGTGTGCATGTTCCCTATAGCAAATTAAATAACAATAATAATTCTAAATAAAATTAAATATATCTCTTTAAAAATTCAGTCATTAGACACAGCTATTTATTTAACCAGGGTTTTTTTCTTTTTTTTCCGAGAGATTTTTTTCTATAAGGTATGTGCGTTCACCAAAGAGACAGAGGCAGAGAGACAGAAGGCAGGAAATCACTCTTCAGGGGAGATGGCCATGCTGCAGTCCTTTCGCCTTTATTCTCCTCTTGGGATCTTGGGCATGCACATACACGTACCTGGCATGAGTTTTAAGCCACCAGGTCCAGGACTCGAACTGCAGTTGACCATATGGGAGTCCAGTGTTGTAACCATTATCCCGTCTCTGCTGGTTCCTTATCAGTTTCTATGTAATATAATTCTCAGTTTCAATGAAAGGAAAACCCATGTTTGAGGCATTAAAATTAAAATGATTTTTTTTTCTTTAAATTTTTTTATAGGTACCTATACTTGCCAAAGAGACAGGCAGAGAGGGGGAAAGTGAGCAATCACCCTTCCAGGGGGATGACACACAATCCCCTTTCCTCCATTCTTCTTGGGATTTGGGGCATGCATGCACTTGCGCCCAGTTTGATTTGCAGGTCTCCAGGTTCGGGATTGGAACTGTGTGGTGGGCCATGTGAGATCCAGCACCTTAACCTCCACAACACCTGCTGGCCCAATAAGATGATTTTAAAGTTAGCCAAATGCCATGTCTATTTGTACGTAATATGATTTATGCTTTTTAAATACAGTTGCAGTTGTGGTTGGATAATCCAAAGATTCAGCTGACATTTGAGGCTACTCTCCAACAGTTAGAAGCGCCTTATAACAGTAAGTAGTCTGTTTAGTAGAACTAGTTTTGGAGGGTGTAGATTGTGAATATTGATTATTTCTTTCTAGGAGCTTTATGGTTCCTTGATAGTTAAGGTTTTCATTCATAATTCCATTTTATTTCACCTTATGCTGTTAGAAAAATGAACCTTTTAGGAAGGTTTTTCTTTTCCATGTTTTTGTTTCCTGGTCTTTACATTATGCTGACCTGAGTTCAATGGATCGCTAAATTGTTTTCCTAGACCTTGTCAGCTTTGATCTGTAGAATACTTTGTTGGTGCTTGGTTGGTGGGCTATCCTTTTTAATTAATTTCTTCCATGAGGGAGCAAGAGAGAGATACAGGCAGTCCCGTCCCCCTGCCCCCCACCACACACCTGCAGCAGGGCCTGCATGCTGCTCTCTACCCCCATCCTCATTCAGCCCACATCATGGGTGTGCGTGCGCGCTCAGTGAGGTCCTGGGCTGCGGGCCCAGGTGGGTTACTGCTATGCCATTGCCTGGCCCATTCTGCAGGCCGCCGTGTTCCCACTTGCCACCAACAAATGCTCGCTTTGCCGAAGTAAATGAGTGGCATAACGCTGATACCAAGGTTTGCTTTGCCCTCCATTTCATGTGTAGTGGAGTACCATTAGAAATTCCATATTATGTGATGGTGAATTTTGGGCAGTCCCACAGACTAATAGTTCCTAAGAATCTCTTTTCTAAAGAAGTCACATGACCTGAAGGCTTTGGAAAAGATGTATAGACTGACTGACCATCATGAGGAAGAAATAGAAGAAGTTTCTGTTCAGACTATTGAGAATATAAACACTTTTTACTTTATTTGTTCTGTAGGTGATACTGTTCTTGTCCACCGAGTTCACAGTTACTTAGAGCGTCATGGTCTTATCAACTTTGGCATCTATAAGAGGATAAAACCCCTACCAAGTAAGGACCTGCTAAGCCAGTGAATTGTGTGGTTTTAGGTTATGCTTCTGTGGCTGCATTTTATGTCCATTAGTATTTTATTTGATTTGTAAATCTATATTTAGAGTAAAATGTTCCAAGTTTATCATATAAGTCAAGTTTAAATGAAATCTCTTAAGTGTTGATTTCCCTTCATTTCTGTTTTGACAGATTCTTAGGGAGATAGACCAAATTTCCAATTTAAACAAAAAGTAGCATCTAAAATAAAAATTTGTTAAAAAGGAAAGAAGTTGGGGCCAGCAGGTTGCATAGTGGTTACAGTGCTGGACTCCCATATTGTTGGCTGCAGTTCGAGTCTTGGCCCTACAACTTGAAATCACTGTGGGCATATGCAGGTATGCATGCCCAAAATCCCAGGAGGAAATGGAGAAGGGATGGTGGCGTGGCCATGCCCTAGGGATGATTTCCCACTTTCCCTCTCACATCTCTTTCTCTCTGGTGAGCACATAGCCTTATGGCAAAAACCTTAAACAAATAAATAAATAAAAGAGAGCTGTCATTTTTTTCGAGCAAGATGTTTATGGTTTTTTCCCTACTAGTTCTTTCCTTTCTTTTCCTTTTTTTATTACACCAGAGGGCACATAATCACAACAAGAGAGCAAGCTCACAGGTGTACACGTGCATCCCCCAGTGGGACCTGGTTATACTAAAATAAATTTCCCTCCAGTGTTTCATCTCTTCACAATCCTGGCCTTTTATGCACCTGGCACATAAGCTCCTGGGGACAGGACTCCAACCGATTGGCACGTGCGATCTGGCTCCCTCTGCATAGCACTGGTTCTTAACACTGCTAATGGGTGTTGCTTTAAAACAAACAAAATAACTTTTTGCCCATCTCATGGTATTTGTCTTCCAGGAATCCAGGGAGATAGGATATTTTGGGAATCAGTACATTTATTTTTGATGCCCTAATTTTTCAAAAAGGGATACTAACTTAACTTCAGAAGGAGAGCTTAAAGGAAATGGCTTATACCCAGTATAAGTCCTGGTATAATCATGAGGTCAGTAAAGCACAGTATTTATAAAAAAATTAAGAATCACAAGTAGTGAAACACAACAATCAGGGAGACTGAGAAAGTAAATCTTAAGATAGGGGCTTTGATTTTTTTTTAAATGTTCAACATTGGTTTATGTTTCAAGTATTTGTTACTTTGTTTTCATATTTTGAAAATAACTGTCTAACTTGTTTGTTTTGTTCTGAACATGACAGGTTCAGAACCAAGAGAGTTTCATGAGGAAAAAAATGTATAAGTAGAAACTCTTAAGCCTACCACAGAATATTCTCATTTTTGTTCATTTTTTGCTTTTAGCTAAAAAGACAGGAAAGGTAATTATTATAGGCTCTGGGGTCTCCGGCTTGGCAGCAGCTCGACAGTTACAAAGTTTTGGAATGGATGTCACCCTTCTGGAAGCCAGGGTAAGAACTTCATTTTGTGTTTATAAACCTGACCTAATGGAAGTATGCTAGGAAATGATCTGTTGGAAATGAGGTAATCATTCAGTTTTATCTACGCTAATACTCAGGGTATTTTGGTTCATGCTATTTATATTGGATAAAGCATTCTCAAAAGTAAAGCTTTGAAAAGTGCGCGGTGAATTTAATTATATATTTATTTTAATTTGCCTGAGGGTATGTATGCTCGCTGGAGTCAGAGGGGTAGGAGGGTAGGCAACCAACCCCCATGGGGGATGACCACACCATAATCCTTTCTCCTCCTTTCTCCTCCTTTCTCCTCCACTCTCTTTGGATTTTGGGCACACATGCATAAACGCCTGGTATGTTTCTTAAGCCGCCAGGCCTGGACTCAGACTGCACAGTTGGCCATGTGAGATCCAATTGCTGGTTGACCCCTCTGAGTATTTAGTTTGTAAGTGATCCATATATTCTTTTTCTTTTGCTTTTTTTAAAATGCCAGACAGCACATGTGCATACACAAAGCGATAGCACACGTGCGTGCACACACACCTCCTGCCATCAGGGTCTGGTCACGCTGCAATTATTATTTTCCTTTCTGTCAGACTTGCAGGTGTGTGCACATGTGTGCCCAGAGTTTTTCAAGCTGCTGGGGCCAGGACTTGAACCCTGGTCAGCTGTGTGGGAGCTGACCTTCTCTGTGTAGTGTTTAATAGCTGCATTGAGCTTGTTGTATTTTTTGTTTTGGCACATGTGCTTGCCAGCAAGAGAGGGAGAGTGAGAAATCACCCCCAGCGGGGATGGCCACACCACAATCCTTTCTCCTCCATTTTCCTCTCAGGATTTTGGACACACATGCACGTGTGCCCATGTGGTTTTTAAGCGCTGAGTCCTGGATGCAAACCAAGAATCACGCTGTTGGCCATGTGAGAGCCAGCACCGTTAATCATGCTACCTGCTGACCTCATGTATGTATCCTTCATGGCTATTTTCATGTCAGTGTTTCTTGCAGTTAACTCTTAACTTGGGGCCTTGATGCCTTTGTTGGAGAGAGTTACTTCAGTAGTGGGTCAGAGTGTATAAATCCATTTGATAGTCAAAGAAGAGAGTCCACTTTTCAGGCAGGAGCCACCTTTTAGAGCTTTTAGAAGCTGAGTTGTTGGTTCCTTTATGAGTCCTGGAGAGACAAATGGAAGCTAGAGGAGGAAAGAGATGATGGCTTAGAGTAGAAAAAAGAACATCACCTCAGGATGGTATTACTCAAATGATTTTCATGAATTTTTAAAATTTAATTATCTTCTAGTGGCTTAAAGGCCTTCCTGGACTTCCACCATTTTAAAAAACACTACCCAGGTGACCTAAATAATCAAATTTTATTTAAAAAATTCTCAAAATGTTATGTACCGTACAATCCAAATTGCTTTTTGTAAGCTGCTGATTTTTAATATTAATTAAATTATTTTTAATTAAGAGTATGGGGTGAGGCCCATGGATGGTACAGTGCTTAAGGTGTCGGCCACTTTTCAAGTCCCAGACCCTGTGGCTTAAAACTCGACGCCGGCCATGTGTGTGTGTGTGCCCCAAATCCCAAGATGAGAATGGAAGAAAAGGATTGTGGTGTGGCCCCCTCCCTGGGGGTGATTTCTTACTTTCTGTCTCTGTCTCTCTGATGAGTGCATGTGCCATATAGCAAAAACCTCTCAAAAAAAAATAGAGTATAGGGAAATCATAATTAAATATTTTCCTGATATAGTCTGCTCTAAATATATTAATTAATTAATTTGGAAAATATTTGTGAGCCCTCTGTGCACTAAGAATGTGGTAGAAAATAATAGGACCATTACCATCCTTACCTGTGCAGAGCTTATAATCTAGTGTACAGGTTTTTGGGGTGTTTTGCCTTTTTCTGTGTATCTCCTTTGGAGATTAGAGTGTTTACTCTCATTATTATTTATGAGCATTTACCCTGGTGCAAGCCCAATGAAGTTAGAATTCTGCACTGTGTGTCGAATCCACAGCCCAGTCAGCCTCAAACATCCACATGAGTGCCCACGGTTCGATGGGCTGGAGGAAGGGGGTCACAGTCTGACCAGACCCTCTGGGGTGGTCCTCTCTTTTGCTCTCCCCCAATATCATGTGTGTGCACATGCACTCTATCATAAATAAAGGGGAAAAATTCAAAATGATCACTGCAGCTCAAATAGCCCCATACTTGAACATTCTTAGTGAGCAGAGAGAAGCTTGGGCTTATTTAGGATGATCATTGTCATCAGCAGCTTGAGTTCAGTAGACAGCCCGGGCATAGGCCTGCATTCAGGAACCATTTGTCAGTGAAAACATCGATCACATTATTCCCAGGTGACTTTCGAAGTTGAGGAGCAAGAGTCAGATTACGGTGACAGAATGTTAGATTTAGGGGCCAGCAAGTGGCGAAGTGGTTAAGTTGCTGGACCACCCACACATTCGACTATGGTTCAAGTCCTGAACCCAGCAGTTTGAAAATCTGGGTACACATGCCCAAAATCTGAAGAAGAGAATAGAGGAAGAGGGATTGCGTGACCATCCTTCTTGGGTGGTGATTTCTAGCATTCTGTCTCTGTCTCTCAGGAGAGCACACATGCCCTATAGCAAAAATTCTCTAAAAGAGAGAATAATTGGATTTAGTGTTGGAGTGTGTGAACGAATATTTCCTATGCCCTTGCCCACCCTTTGCATTAGGAGACATTATAGACAGTTGGGTAGACAGGTACGACCTGCCAAGTGGCTTCATATCACATCTTTTAGTTCTATACCTCTTATATGTTGCTGATGACCAAATTCCATGGAACTCTTATGTTCACAGTACTAATGAATGTACTCTAAACTGCACCTTTCTTTCTAAATTATAAAATACAGGTGAGGGAACCAGCAGTTAGCATAATGGCTATGTCGCTGGACTCCCACGTAGTCGACCACGTCCTGGACCTGGTGGCTTAAAACTCACGCCGGGCGCGTGTGCGTGCGTGCCCAAGATCCCGAGAGGAGAATGGAGAAGGGATTGCGGCGTGACCATCCCCCCTGGGGGGTGATTTCTCGCTTTCTGTCTCTATGTCTGTCTCTGTCTGGCGAACGCATGCGCCCTATAGCAAAAAAAACACCTCTCCAAAATGCAGGTGATACAATGTCAGGTTATTGTGGTTAAAGTAGAATTAATGATTTGAGCCATTTTATTTCTGAAAAAAACAGGATCGTGTGGGTGGACGAGTTGCTACATTTCGCAAAGGAAATTATGTAGCTGATCTTGGAGCCATGGTAGTAACAGGACTTGGTAAGTGTAATTCTTAATTCTTAAGACTTTTTTAAAAAGTTTGTTTCCTTCCTTCCCTCTTTTCTCCCTTTTTCTCTCCCTTTACTGCAGGGCACATGTGCTCTATGGAAAGAGGTAGAGAGGGAGGGAACGTGAGAGCACCCCCAGGGTGATGGCCACAGCGCACTTTCTTCTCCTCTCAGAATTTTGGCATGCGCTGGAGTGTTACCAAGCTGTGAGGTCTGTGAGGTCTGGGACTCGAACCACACAGTTGGCTCTGTGGGAGCCAGCCGTCTTACCTTCCATGCCCCAAATGTATTTATAATTTATAGCTATAAATAGCAGTTTTAAAATATGTTAGCTTAGGGTATTATTCTTCTGTTGATGAGGTAAAGTGTCAAATCATCTTCCTCAAAGGATGTATCAGTATGTGCAGAATTTAAATTATATATACCTTTTGACCTTAGGGTATCTTTTTCCAGTTCTAGAAAATTAACCTGATAGGCAAGTAGGCAGTGTTAATGTTCAGAGCATTTTTAATGTGGCTTTCTTTTTATAATAATGAAACATTAAAAACCACACATTAGAAGATTAAATTATTATATAATGAGAACTATATAGCCACTAAAAAGTATGTAGTTCCATATTAGCAAAATTATGTCCATACTTTATTGCTAAGTTAAAAAAAGATTATTGAAAACAATATGTACTGGGAGCCAGCAGGTGGCATGGTGGTTAAGGTGCTGGACTCCCACGTGGGTGACCACAGTTTGAATCCCAGACCTGGTGACTTGCTTTCTCACTTTACCTCCCTCTCTTTTCTCTCTCTGGTCAAGTTAAAGAATAATAATGATAATAAAAAATAAATAAATGAAATAAATAATTCTTTTTATAAAATACATATGTTGGTTCTTCTGTCTGTGTACGTCTGTAATTTGATGCACTTAAAGCCTAGAAGGAGCTACAATAAAGTGTTACCATATAAGGTAAAGGTAATATTTTGCATATTGTTATCCTGCAGATTTTTACCTTGAGCATTTTAGAGACAATGACTCAGATACCATAAGCTTTAGCATTTCTTTAGAGTAAAAATAGATTTACTTTGAAGCTTTTGTTCTCTAAATTTTATAGGTATGTTGAACTTAATTGTTTGAGTTTCTTTTAGGAGGGAATCCCATGGCTGTGGTCAGCAAACAAGTAAATATGGAACTGGCCAAGATCAAGCAAAAATGTCCACTTTATGAAGCCAATGGACAAGCTGTAAGTTGAGGACAAACAGAACCTTTCAGAATCCCTTTGGTTTAGTTGCCGCAGCTCGGGGAATGTGTGCATGAGCTCAGATGGAAACTGAGAGCAGAAGCCGTATGGTGTGGTTCTGGTTGCTTCCACCTCTGAGCTGTAAGGAGGCGGATGTGCATAAGTGTACGTGTCTGTGTGGGCATCTGTCGCTAGGCTTATAGTGAAGGCTAGCCAGAAGGCCAGGCTTTCTACTGGGCTGTGGCCATTCAGAGACCTGTGGTACTAAAACCCGATCCTTCCTTTCTTGCACGGTGACCCTGTCCTGTGCTGGGGCTCCATGTGTTCTTCGTGACTTCAATTTTTTGTGTGTAGGTTCAGGTTTTTGATGGACTGACAGCCGAATGGTGGTATTTACCCAGGCGCTTAGGTGGATTGAGTATTTGTTCAGCAGAGGCATAGGAGCGAGCTTCCTGTGCACCGTGGGACAGTAGCAGGGGTAGTCTAACCACTGTAAGATAAGCTTCGACTACAGAGGTCAGTCCTCACTTTTTTAGGGGGAATGAAATTCAGAAGGTTATGTTCACAGAAATTGGTTGACTTACCTGTCAGGGTAAGAGCATCACTTCTTAGGAGTGAAGAACATTATTAATTATATTTAAGCAAAGGAAGACTTGCTGCAGGGTGCTGGTTTTGCTAAGTTACCCAAAGGGGTGTGACTCCAGCTCTTGAGTTTTGTGAGATCGGTCTCAAGGGATATCCTCACCTACTGCCGTCTACCTTTAGGCTTCCTGGGGTTCGTATCAGAGCAGGACTCGTCTGTTTCAGGGAAACTGGGTTCCTTCCCCACGTCCGAGTCCAGATGTCCTACCAAGACTTGGGGGTGGGGGAAGTGCAGGAGGCTCTGACAGTAAACAGCAGTGTGAGAGAGAGGATGGAGCAGAGCTTATTTAACTGAGCAGCTAACAAAAGTCCGTCAGGGTATAGAGGTGAGTAGGCGATCCGTATCACAGTCTGTGGTACTTGTACACAGATCATCATTTTAAACTAACTTTTTATTATACAAATTTAAAAATATACATGAAAGTAGGAAGAGTAGTCTAATGAACCCCCTTTTTTCAGTCTTGTTTCCTCTACCCCTGCTTTTTCTGGCCTAGAGTATTTTAGTTTAATTAAGACTTTTCCTTGAGGGCATGCCCATGCACCTGAGAGACAGGAGGGGAATGGTCACACCACAATCCCTTCTCCTCCACCTCTCCATCCTTTTGGGATTCGGGCACACACGCATAGGCACTTAGCATGTTTTTCAAGCCATCAGGTCCAGGGTTCAGACTGCACAGCTGGTCATGTGGAGGATCCAGCTGCGTTAGCCACCAGGCCACAGAACCAGTCCAGTCTGGAGTATGCTAAAGCAAATCCCAAACCTGTCACCCTTGAATACAGCAGTAACATCATGTGGGGCCGACTTGCCAAAGGTGAGATAGAAAGACCAATGTGGAAGAGCCAGGGAGCAACGGGGTGTGTGGCAGTTGAACGGGTGGGCAAGTGGGGGGGTTGAGGGGGAGGAAGAGACTTGGAGGGAAGGAGGGCATTCCTCAGGGCAGGGCAGGGAAGGAAAAGGCGTTGGAGGCAGAGGATGGTTTATGTCCAAGCACAGTCTCTAAAGGGAGCTGGGATCATATCAGTAAGGGGAGAAAGGCATTAAAGCCAAAGCCGAGGATGGGCATGCTGTAGAGGATGGTCCTTGCTGGACTGGTGGGGAGGTTGGAACTTTGTAGGAGAAGCCACATGGTCAGGTCGCTGTTGGGCAGACAGGCTGTGAGTACAGAGTAAGCTGAGGGCAAGGCTCCAAAGTGGTGCTAGAACAGTCCTCAAGAACTGATAGGGCACACTGAGGTTTATCACTGGGTGGGACGCCGTCTTTTTCTTCAGAGTTTCCTGAATTTAGAGCAGGCTCATTTGTTTTTTCTAACAGTAAAGAAAAAACCCTTTCCTAGTAGTAATGGCTAGAGAAATTGGCAATTGGCAGTTTTCTTGGTATTAGATGAACTTTTTCTTTTTCAAGACATTTTTGCCTTAAGGTGTGTGTGCTTGCTAAAGAGAGACAGAGAGACAGACACAGTGAGAGGGAAAGTGAGAAAT